TGTCCTACCACCCGAAGAATTTGCAGTCTAAATTGTCAAGGCCAACAAGGTGAGACAGAGGCATACAGGCAAAAACCCCAACCAACTACTGAAAAAAAAATTCCCACATGTTGTCTTACAGGCTATTTTTTGACAGTTCCAAAATAGGGTACAATTTAAAATACCTATGTTGCTAGATAAAAACACTCTCCTCCCCCAGGCAGATTAACAAAAATTAACAGAAAAAGTGCCGAGGTGTGTCTGCCACAGTACCTTAACACATTTCTATGTGCTTCATTGTTCTCAGTCTTTGTTCTCAGATCATGGAGCACACAGATTGTGTAATACCTCTATTCTGGGACACCTAGGTTAGCACAGTTACTCTCAGCAGGGTGAAGGAGGAACTCTGCAGTAGCTTTAGCTGAAAGTGTTTTTATTTCTTGTGGTTTGTGTCCTGACTTTCAGTAATCTTGAGAATCTGAGGACGTGTATCAGTCTTTGAGGACATTTATCAGTCTGACAGTTTTGAAAATGCAGGTGTTCTTAATGCTAATAATATTTTTTTAATGTATGTGTTTGATCTGTAGTTTACTTTGTACAACAAAAATATATTTACAGCACTTGCCATACAAGCACCACCTCATTCTACTGACTGTGGATAGGAGATAGATGATAGCAGCATGTGCTTCCATGCAAAAAAAAAGGAAAAAAATAAACCTGCTATTACATTAATAGCATCCTGTGACAGAGTCATAAAAAGTTTGTGCATTGGCTCAGTGCCTCTCTGCCTGGAGTGTCAAGGCTCCTGGTTTCTCCTGAGCTGTGATGGGGAAGCCGTGGAGAGACAGAAGAGCAATTCCAGATTCTGTGCTGTGAATGCTTTCCTTTCCCACCGGCTGGCTACATCCATGCGTGCAGAGCTTTTGATTAGATCTGCTGTTTTGCCTATGGCAGTCTTCACTGCAAACGTCCTTTGTCTATACATCATTTGAGCATCTATACATGATAAGATTGCCACCTTTTATTAGAGTAAAAACAGGAGTTTTCTACTCAATAAGCTTTGCTCCTACCTCAGCTCTCCAACCATCCATAGGGGGAGTGAAGAGGACAGGGAAACTTTGAAAAGCCTTTCACATCTTCATTCTCCTTGGAAGAATGTGGGAAGAGTTTTTGTAAAATCCAAGATAGACATTCATAAAAGGGGACTTGCCTGGGTGTCGTAAAAGTGATAAAGTGGAAACTTGGAAAAGTAGGTACATGTAAATATATGCAAATTACTTAACTGATAAATTAACATTTTTTTCTCTTCAAGTAAAATTATATCCATGTATTTCTTAGCTTACATCTCACTTTCAGTCTTTGTTTCCCCTGTTACTTTTAACACCAGGGTCTCAGAGCATTGCAATGCCTTTCAGCATTAAAAGCTTCCTTTTTCACTGTGAATAGATTTGTACTGCAAGTAGGCAAGTTCTAGTATGTTACATGAGAATGAATAAAGATATTAGCGTACAGAAAATGTGAAAAGAGAGAGGCAGTAGACATGAATAAGCAAATAAGTAACAATCACATTTTCCTTTGAATGTACAAAATATACTGAGGATCACATCACTAAAAAAACTACGTCTGCTGAAAAAGAAGTGGGTTTTGTGTAAAAACAGATCATGCATCTGTTTGTCTCTGAGTACTTTAAATAGTCAATGTATGCAGTCACTTTTCTTTTACTCTACAATTAGACTTTGGACTAGGACAGAAGTATATGTGATATGCATTTCGTTGAAAAATACTGCTGTATGTAGGAAATAAACTCTTAGGCCAGGTAGTTCAGCTTCCTCTGAGTTCACAATTGTTCTCTACTGTTTGCCATTGAGTGCTTTACCTGCTCAAGTTTCAAATGCTTTGTTTGGTGGGACTTCATCATTCATTCTTCATTTGAAAATTACCTGCTAGACTGAATCACATAGCTTCTGAGAAATTCTCTGATACTTTGTCCAAATTTTGTTCTTCTTTACATTTAGCTGTAACACTGCATGTTAGCTCCCAAGAAATTCCTTTCCATTGTCTCTATTCATCACTCATATACTTCAAGACAGTGATTGTTTTGCCCCTATGTCGTGGTTTAACTTGACAGGCAGGTACACACCAGAAAGCCATTCACTCGCTTCCACTCTCCCAGCAGGATGGGGGAGAGAATTAAAAAAAAAAAAAAAAAAGTCAAATTCTAGGGTTTAAATAAAAACAGTTTAATAGGACAGAAAAGGATGGGAAAATAATATTAATATTAATAATAGAATTAGAATATACAGGTGACACACAATGCAGTTGTTCACTGTGCACTAACCAGTTCTGGAGCAGTGGCCCCCATCTATCTTTCCCCCTAGTTTATGTGCTGAGCATGACACCATATGGGTTGGAATATTCCTTTGTCCAGCTGGGGTCAGCTGTCCTGTCTGCAACCCTTCCCAACTTCCTGTGCACCCCACCCTACTTACTTGCTGGCAGGGCAACAGGAGAAGAAAGGGTCCTTGATCACTGTTTGGCAACACCTGAAACACCTGTGTGTTACCAACATGATTGTCCTAAATCCAAAACACAGGACTACTCCAGGTACTGGTAAGAAAATTAACTCTATCCCAAATAATACCAGGATAACTTGTTTCCTAGATTAATAAATCAAGCCCCTTCCTTGTCTAATCAGTTTTGTTGCTCTTCTCTGAAGACCTTTTCTGTATACAAGCATCCTTCTGTCATGGAGGTGTCTAGAAGTGGATGCAGTGTTCTGCAGAAATCTTCTAGATGTGTAGACAATAAGTTTCCTCTTCTGACATTATTCTACTGAATATGCAGCCCAATATTGCATCAGTATTTTAAAATGATATATCTCCGTGAGAACTCATATTAAATTTGTTGTTTCCTGTCACACATAGGTATCTTGCCGTGCAGATGCTTTCCAGTTTCTGCTTTCTCATGAACTCTTCATATTTCTGATTATCTTTCCTCAGTATATTAATATACATTTTTCCACATTGAATGTCATTTTATTGCCTGTCTACATATCTAACCTTGTTAGTTTCCATTTATACTATTGCTATACTCTCTGACATTTGCAAGCCTCCTGGTTTATTGTCATTTGTGAATTTCATTAATGTGCTATTTACCTCCTTTTCCAGATCATTAATTGAGATATTAAATAAGAACATACCAAAAACACCCCTGCAGCAAACTGACTCAATACCTCACCTCCCATCATTACCTGCTGCTCACACTCCTTCAACCACCTTTTCCATCCAGGTCACAGGGCTCAGATTCAAGTAAATTTCAATTAGATTATTCTAAGAGATTCATTTCAGTTTTAAAAATGTGTTTATAGGATTTAGTCCCATGACCTTTTCTACTTTTTCTTCATTGCACAGGTGGGACTGATTCTCCTTCCCTGTGTTTCCATAGATAGCAATAATGAAAAAATGAATTAGACAGTGATATGGAGGTGAGCAGGGTGGGAGTGGGTGTGGGCATGAATGGCTGCCTTTGACAGATTAAACTAGAATGCAAAATTGTCTCTAGTCTTTGTATTTTTCTGTTTATTTATGCACTTCAAAGTTGTCATAATGTTCCTTTTGTTGTATCCTGATGGGTGATATTTTGTTGCTTTTCTCACACTTATGTTTGCTAAAAACCACTTATATTTGCCTTATTTACTTTGGTCATCTGTTGTGCACTTAATTTTCTGATGATGTGCTTCTCTTTTCTCTGCAGACTTCATGTAGCTTTGAACATCAGAAACTGGATGTGTATTATGTAGATAAAATAAACCCTATGAATCAGTTAATTTTATTTTCATTAGTTTTATAATGAAAGATCACACAGTATAGAGTGTTCTTAAAACTGCTTCTAAAGTAACTTTTTCCTCACGTCTCCTTCAAGCAGTGTGACTGAAAGCCCACTGGAGAGGGAATAGAGTCACTCACTTCAGTGAGCTTGGGGTCAGTTCCTTAAGCCCCCTGCACTGTCCTGGTGCAATGCAACACTGAGATAGAGAGGGGGCTGACAGGACTACTGCTGAGGTGTTTTCCATGTGTACTGCATCTGGTGTGATCTCCCGGGCAGCCATGTTCCCAGGTGCTGCTCTGTATTTCATTGGAGCAGCTGGCCAAAACAGATGTGTGTTACCAACAAGTGATTTGGAGAAGCAGCTTTTTGCTGTTATTTAAGGATTGGTGTCAAAACTGTGCTGCTGTAGTAATGTTCTAAAAGCTGCATGGTTTGGTAATGCCATTGTGAATTTATCACTTACTGATTGCCTGTAAACAACATTTAATGGTCAGACAGGTTTTAGCAGCAAGGATTGTGGACTGGAGTGAAGTGCAAGAGGCAGGAATAATGAGAAATCCTGTGAAAAATGTTTTCCCTCTTGTTTCTTCCGCTCGATCTGCTTTTTGTCTGAGGAGTGATGGAGAAATTAGCCACAGAAAAGAATGCCTCACACTGAGACAAGGCACCACAAAATTCCCAGCATCTCCTGAAGTTTCTCCAAATTCCTCTACCATCTTTCCAGCTTTCGCACTACTTTTCCTTCCTTTTCTGTCCTTAGCCACTCCTTCTCATCCCTCTGCTTTTATTGCCATGACCCTGAAGTATCCTTATATCAGAAGAAAGCCTTCTGCAACTGGCTTTTAGTGAAGGTAACCTCTGATTTCAAAAATTATATTTTCAATTAACAGAAGAGTAAGTATGAGTCCACAGTTAAGGCCATAACTTTATAGAAAAATGAATTATACTTGGAAAAATTATTCTGGGACTGTCTGTGGAGTCAGGCATATTTAAATTCCTTGGAGAATATAATTTCTTGTCTTGGAAGAGGCAAGATTCGGTTACTCCTGTTTGCTTTGGAGATGTTGAATTTTCTGAAATTGGTCTCAGACATCTTCATTAATAGAAGAGGCATATCTGTTACTTATCTGTTATTGATTGGTATGAAAATATTCATAATGACACTGGACAATTACAGTTTTGAGGGAAGGAAGCTATGCGGTCTGGTAACATATATATGATATGTGCTGATTTCTAGTTTTGTCTATATGTATAAGATCCTGGTCTGATCTTAAAGAATGTACTTGTCACAGTTTCCCCTTCTGGACAGAGAACCATACTCTCTGTCTCTCTCCAGGACTATGGAAGACCTAGAGGTAGGCAGATTTTCTGACATGAAGCTGTGGAAATAAATAATACTGCCATTATTCTTGTTGAATGCCTTTGAACACTGTCTATCTTTCATAATTCTGTCAGTGGCATCTGATTTAACAGCTGCTGAATGTCCACTGCTTGTGTTGAGTTCAGCTGGAGCTGAGGGGCTGAGCACTGATCTAATTCATAACCAGGCAGTGGAAAGGCATCCAAAATGCTTTTTCTGCTGCAGTCCAACAATTTTTCTCCTCAGCTTTTTAAAAGCTAGTAACTGTACAAGCTGTAAACAAAAATGTGGACTATAGTCCTTTAAAATATTTGTTGTAAAGCATTTTTTTCTTTTTTTTCATTAAACTAAACACCTGTGTTTTGGGTGAGATGTGGAATAATGTTAGAGTCCAACGGGAGGATAGCTTGAGGTAGGAAGGGGTGAAAGTTATAGCTTGGTCACTGAGTGGTAAATCTCCATTAATCTTCAAAGCAAGATATAACTCAGGATTTTTCTTCTGTTTCTTTCTAAGTGAAGGCCATTGTGTTTCCATCCTTGGCTGTGTCAGCAGTGATAGCCCTTTTTTCCAGCATTGATTGTTGACTTCCCCTGACACCATATCACAACCCATTAGTGCTGAAAACTGACAAGCCCAGCTGCAACAGCAAAATGGCAAGTTTAAAAGAAAATATACAAGGGACAGGCACAGAATCCTATTAGTATGAAAAAGAAGTTTTGTCTTACCTCTGTAAAGGTCAAGAATGCAAACATTTTTTCTCTTGCTAACAATTGTGTATATTTTGAACTAACAAAGCCATTCTTTCTCTCTCTGTTTTTTTTACAGATTTTTTTAAATTCAAGTTGTATGTGGGTTTAACAAAAGCAGCCATGTTGAGGTGAGTGAAAAAGATTCCTTCCTTTAGGAAACTCACAGGGAGTATTTTGCTTATACATATGTATGTGTATGAGGGGTTTTGTAAGGCAGAGACATTTCAGAGAAATTAATGGCTCAGCAGTTTCTGGGTACTGAGATCCCGTTATCAAGCTTTTGTGTTGTCTGAAAAGTGGAATTTCTTTTTTCTTTTTCTCTCTCTCTCTCTCTTTCTTTCTTTCTCTCTTTTCTTTCTCTCTTTTTCTCTTTCTCTCTCTCTCTCTTTCCCTTTCTCTCTTTCTTTGTCTCTTTCTCTTTTCTTCTGGTACTGTATGGTGGTGTCAGCATTCTGGATGGTAACAGTTCAGATATTCCTTCTGATTGTACGGGTGATTTCCCAGGGGAAGAAAGCAACAGTCTTCATTGTCACAATGCTGTGTACTTAGAAAGATAATGGGGCTTGAGCAAGGGCAGGTAACTCTTCAAAACCTTTGTGCCAAGGTCCCAATTTGATATCAGTTGAAAGGCAGAGTGTACACTTTGCTGTCTCAGAGCCCAGGGGAGATTGGAACACAAGCAGAGCCCAACAGCTCTCTTGGCACCCAAATTTGTTGCAAGTGATTATGTAGCAGCAGCAGCAAAGGAGCAACTGTGATGGAAAACTGGTGAAATACATTAAAATTTTTATCTTTTGAGGAACATCCTAGAGAGGCAGGTTTGTTCAGTCTCAAGAGGAGGAGGCTCAGGGGATGCCTCATCACTCTCTATGACTCCCTGAAAGGAGGTTGTAGCCAGACTGAGGCTGTTCTCTCCTGCCATGCCTGCAGTGAGAGGACTGGAGGAAATGGCCTTAAATTGGGATGGGGCAGATTCAGATTAGATATTAGACAAATTTATTCACCATTAGGGTGGTCAGGGATTGGAATAGGTTGCCCAGGGAGGTGATGGAGTCACAATCCCTGGAAGTGTTCAAGATGCATTTGGATCTGGTGCTGGATGATATGGTTTAGAAGTTGCAGTGGAAATGCTGGGTGTTTGGCTGCACTGGGAGAACTTGAAGGTCTCTTCCAACCTCGATCATTCTATGATTCTATGCAAATAAATAAAAAAAAAAAATAAAGAAAACATGAAGACTAAAGGGCAAATTAAGTGAAAAATCCAAAATTTATTTAGAATCCTGTAGAGCAGTGAGGATACAAAAGAACTTGGGTTAACAAGATAATGAATTTGTTTCTGAACAGGTGAGATTTTGCAAATTGATTGCTATGGACACAAAAGACATTAGTCTCAAGTAATCTAGACAATTCTGTTATCACAAACATGAGTTTTCTTGAACTTGTACCTATGGATGTTGGTGTGTCAGTAGCTGGTTGATCCCACATTTTGCTAGAAGGTTGCAAAGCAATGGTTTATGCCTCAAAGTGCTTGCAGTGAAAAAAACCCACTCATCAAATAAAGGAAATAATACTCAGTTTTATTGGTGGAAAGTTAAGTTTTACAAACCAAGTGACCTATCCAAGGTTATACTGTGCACCTCTCCTGAAGTCTGATTGCTATGTGCTAAAGTATAGATTTACAAGGTCCAGCCTATTCTGTTAGATTTCTGGGTGATTATTAAGCATGTATTAAAATGCTCATGAGCTACAATGTAGCTCAAAATGAAGTGTGTGGGTAGAGAGTTTCCACATCAGAACATACAATTAAGGCAGAGTAGCTAAAACTGAGTTAGTTGATATTCTGCTTTCTCATCTTTTTTTTTTTTTTCATTTATTCAAGCCATGGGTTAGTGACTGAGGATGAGCTGAGCTCCATTCCCTCTTTTTTCATTGCTAGAGAACTAGTCTGCATTTAAGGCTTCCTTGTTTTTCCTTTCTCTTGTGCTTACTTGACCAATCCAAGAACTTCATGAAGATCTCAGACACATTTATGAAATATTGGTTTGATGCATTAGGATTTAGGTCTAGTTTATCTTCAAATGTTAGCTACAGTTTTAACTGTGGATCAGATTCCAGAGGGGTGCTTACCAAAGTTTATGGGTTGGGTCAGGTAATGCAGAATGATCTTATGCTGATATGAAGTTATAGTCATGAGGAAGCTTTATTATGGCAGTCCTACTCTAGTAATTCATGGGCCGCCTTCTCCAAATAGCCAAAATTTTTGTAAATGCTCAAGTATCCAAAAATCTGACTTCCTCCTTATTTACACTGAAGCCAGGACAGCTGTAATAAATCAGGTTTCAAATGTCCTTGGAGTAGTTACCTCTCACAAAGAAAGAAAAAAAGGATAACTTCAAGTAGTTAAAACGGGAAGACAAATGAAGGCATAATCACACTGTATTTGTCTGCTTAATGCATCTAGCTAATCCAGTTGTCTGGGTCTGAATACTGCTAGTTTTTTTCAATATGAAGGGCAAAGTTTACTTCATTACTTTGGACACAGATGACCTAATTTCTGAGATTTTATATTAATAATCAGTCATCCCTTGCCAACTTTACAAAGTAAATGTGGGTCTAGTGGCAGAAAAGCATGGAAGGAAGGCTTCCCATCATGAAGGTTAGGCTGAAAGGCATTTCTTTGTGTTCTTGAAGGCTCTGTATTTTCACTGAAGTTCACGTCTCAGTGAGTCAGTCCAAAAATAGTATTTAGTGAGATTTCATCTGTCTGGTTAACCATTAATTTAAACTGTTGTAAAGCTACCATGGTTAACTTTAATAAAAATAAGAGACAAAACCTGACAAAATGGAGAATAAATTAATGCTTACGTGAAAACCAGTGCTTATAGAGGAGTATCTGTCTTTGTTATACATGATAGTTGGTTTTGGATAACTGTGAATGGCACCAAGACCTGGTCATAGAGGCAGAATTTACACGTTTACAGGCAAATAGGTAAATGCAGGTGGAACTTGGTTTGTGCAGGGCTGGCTCCCCCACCTTCTGGGCATCTCTGTGAAAAGCCTGCCATGCAGTTTGCCAGCTGTCGATAACCCTGAGCAGTCTCAGTCAGCCGTACTCCACTTTGACAGATACCTAAAATCTCAGTTATCTGAGCTGCTCTGTTCTGTGCACTCCTTTTGTGCCTTCTGAGATATCATGGGAGAGAGTAACAGTGCAGACTAAGCGATCCACACTGTTTCAGATATTGAAAGGAAACTGGATATCATGGAAGTTGTTGTTAGAAGTGTACTGTTTCTCTTTAATCAGTCCTCCCAGTGCTAAAATAGACACTAAATGAGGAAACAAAATATCTGTGTCTGTGAAAAGCATCTGGAACTCTGCTGTACCTAGTTTTAATTAAGACTATTAATGAGGGCTGTCACTTTAAAGGGTGCTTAAATCTCACTCTTTAGCTTTAATATGAATTTTCAGAACTTCCTTAGGCAGCAGACACTTTAGGTGTAAGGCAAAACAATATAAGGTGAGCATTTATTTAATTCAGTTTCAACTCTCCCGACCTGCAAATGCAGAGTGGGTATCCCTCACCAACTAAACATGTTTTGTATTTTTTTTCAGCGCTGTCTGGGCAGCTGGGCCATATGGGACATGACTACTATTATTAGTGGGACTAGACCTGGAGGGAAAAGAAGTATTTCTGTTCTTTTAAGGAATTTCCCTCCTCCAGAAATTACCTGGAGTAATGGTAGCAGCCAGATGTAATAGTAGTATAAAGGAGGGAAACTAGATTCCTGGAAAATCTTGCAAAGCAGTTAACATGCTGAATTCTTTGGACAATAGGTATCATCTCTCAGAATAAGCTGGACTCTGATTCAGGTACTGAAGTAAGTGAATATTTTTTAAAATCAGCTCAGCCTACTGAGCTTTATTGGAAACCTGTCTATAATTTTGGTGTGTGAGATTTGTACTCTTTTAGAGTAAAACCTGAAAGACTCTTAAGACTTGACTTCTTCAGTCCTTTCATGGTTTTCAAGAATTTCGCTATGAAAAGTCTCCCTTGGAAATGCCTTCTTTTCTGCTTAGGATACAAATTTTTCCTCTTTAATATCAGTGACATATACAAATGCATAACAGAGGTTATATATGAAAATATTTTGTCTCTGAAGGAGAAAGGCATCTTACAGATGTGATGGGGTGAGCAGCACCAGCTGATGTGGGAGGGAGTGAAGTCATGACCCATTTCTGTTCCTTTTGAGAAGAGCAGCCCTTCAGGGTGCTTGCACTTCCTCCTGAGTGTGCCGAGCTGGCAGGCAATGACAGGATGGAGACACCCTAAGTAGCTTTTAGACTGTTACTTTGGTTGCAAGGAGTAGTCTGGTTGTGACAATTCAGAGCTCAGTAAAAACAGGTGATTTATTTGGCAACCCAGCTCCTGTGTCTTGATGATACCCTAGAACATATTCGTTGCCTGCGGATATCTAGGATTCTTGTTTCCCTTCTCCTGGGAAGAACCAGGATTTGGCCACTTTTGTGCAAGACAGTTACTTTTGTAGTAGTGACCTGTGAGATAGTTTTTTTGTATCATGTTTGGGCAACTAAGTAATTAGCCTTCTTTGGGAAATGCTGAATCTACAATGGCTCCCAGTGAAGTGAAGAGAATTATAGAGGACTCAGCAATCTGGAAAACGAGACCTATTACTTATTAAATATGGAGCTGGGAAGATAATTTATGGTGTTCATTTTTTAAAATTTGAAGCTGCATAAACTACAGCTTAAATTAAGACTCTGCACATACAAAGTTGCTAAAGGTCTGGTAAATGACTAGTAATTCTTTCTAAAAGTGATGATCAGTTGGTTACAATGTCCAACAAGTTTGGAGTTTATTTTAACACCTCCTAAAAATACTTATAATATGCCTATTTGTGTATTTTAATGTACCTTTGACCTTCATAACCTGAAAGTATTGTTTTTTTGTCAATTTAGTATATCTAGAACATTATGTGTGGTCATGATATATTTGTGGAAGGTACTCTTTGGCTGAAATATCTGCTGGCTTAAGTCAGCTGGGGCTGACTTCAATACAGCACAAGAAGCTCTGCTTGAGAACCCAAAGAATGGGGCACTGTAGTTTTG